AAAAAAAAGTCTATATTCATATACTCAGCCAGACAAATTTCATGTAATATTCATTTCACTCTAAATGACAATTTCAATATTTCAATTCTATATCCAAGCCTAATAAAAGTTTTGGCGGGGTAACCGAAAATCTGATTGACTCCCTTGGTCTTAAATTCAGCCATTCAGTTTTTATGTATATAAATAGATGAGCGTAGTTCCCAAATACTGTTCGATAAGTTCACTTTGTTGTGATGAATTCTCACGGGATAAATGAAATATTCTTGTTATGAGCTACAGAAATGAATAAACGATATAAAACTATAAGTTGGAGCCATTCAGTGTGATATATTCAGTTTGTTTTGCCATATGTAAGCCAAGAAAGTTGTGCGAATTCAGTTTTCTTTCTTACCCAGATGATGAATTTTGTTGCAAGCATCATAAAAAAATATATACAGGTAAGAGTATATACACTATTTCAAATAAAAAGGTTTTAATTATTGATATGAAATTGGTGGTAATTTTTTCAATCCGAAATAAATATTTTGCTCATTTGGCATGACCGGCGAATTTTTTCAAGTGCATTATAAAAATTTGATGACGCGAAATGATAAATATAAACCGTCTTTGTTAGAATTTTGGCAATTTCACATTGGTGAAGTACTTTGGAAAAACTCTAGAGTGAACTGTCTCATTGTTCTTAGAGGTGACAGAAAAATAACGTTCACTTTTTTATGTCAGTGTATTTTTTGTCAATAGTGAAATTTATACTGTTTGAAATTGGAAAATTGTTTGGAGAAAATTGTATATTTTACAATTATTTCATGAGTTTGTACCTGATATATCAGTGAAATTTCTTTGGTCAAATAGAAAACGTAATCTGAAAGAATGTCGTCAAACAATCGTAAGGACGTTTGCTTCATTTCATTTGTGGGTGATTGTAGAGCGGTTAATTTTGTGAAACTGAACACAGATATGTGTAAAAATAAGTTTCTGTGTTATTTTTATGTTCATCTCGGTTTTCAGCATAAAAAACTAAGTCTGGAAAAAATGGAAAGAAAAAGATAGTATAGAGGAAATCGTGTGATTTTTTACAGATTCGGAAAATTTCGTGACAATTCGTATACATTTTTTTCAATGAGAAAACCTACCTATTTTGTAACTGATCGACCCCCGCACCAGAGAAAATAATGATAATAATAATAACTGATTAAAGTAACATTTCATTCATTCATGAAAAGTTTTCACAACCACAACATGTGTTTCACTATACAATAGCTTCATCAGGCATGTATATTGTATACATAGTATTGAAGACACCTGAAGAAGCTATAGTATCGTGTTTCATTTTTGTAAACTTTCTGTTTATAGAGTACGTTATCATGGATGTTTATCACGTTTAGGTCAATTCCGTCACATACAATCATATCTGATAAAGCTGTGAAGGACTTGCTAACCATAACAGCCATCTAAACTATAGTCGAAACAGAACGAGTCACCTTCAGAACGGGTGTGTTCTACAGCCCACTTGTTTTTCACATCTAACTCTTACCGTTATCGGCAGATAATTGTTGGTTCGCAAATGGATCAAAAACACCTTCCGGTTCTGATGTAGGTGTTTTCAGTCGCAGACCCAGGACAGAGTTATCTACCTGCCTAGGAACCTATGCGAATGTATTTCAAGCGGAAATTTACACTATTGAATTGTGTGAGGAGAGATTGGAAGAATCCGACCTCATACACAAGTCAATAAAAATATTATCGGACAGTCGAGCGACGTTGGAAGCTCTTGGTTCCTACCAAGCGCAACATCTAAATTGCAGAAAAACTGCAAGCAGCTTCATCGGACCAGAACCTGTCAATGGCATAAATATAGAATTTTTAATTAAAGTAGTGTTAGATATGGGAAGACTTAAATTTAGGGTCTGGCGTGTAGTGTAATGAGAGACAATAGAGGGAAGTTCAGTTCTATGTTTATGCACTAAACAAACTGTTTCTAAAATGAATAGAGCATACAGTGATAACATTTTGTTTGCTACAAACAAAGGCCTACAAGAATCTCGCCGCCTGGCTCTACAGAGAAATCTTAATGATCTTTTCTGCAGAATAAAAATCGACTCGAGTCGAGTTTGATTACTTACCCCCCCAGAAAAGTATCCCATATCTTAGATGTGATTCTACTAATGAATAATAGACAGTTTTAGCTGCAGTTAGTCCTAATTCATTAGAAGTTATTTTCACAGCATAACATCCAGATGAAAGTTTTTTGTTAAGAGATATTATGTGGTCCTCAAATTTCAATTTATTTACAATTAATAACCCAAGAAATTTGTTGCATGACGTGTTCTCAAGTCAAATTCGAATTCGAAGCTAGAGGAATATTATCAAGAATGCAATTAAAGGATAAAACTTTAGTTTTTGAGACATTGAAAGCTAATAAATTTGCCTTACACCAATCTGAAAGTTTGGAAATAACAGAGCAAATGGCATTATATAGATCATTTGTGTTGGTATTGCGCCATAATATTGTAGTGTCGTCGGCGAATAAAGTAAATTTAACCTCAATATCAATGGTAGTCAAGTCATTGATATAGAGTAGAAATAGGGTAGGTCCCAGTACTGATCCTTGTGGTACTCCGTTAGATATGTTAGAAACATCAGATACTGTTGTATATTTAATCCTTTGACTTCTACCCGATAGATAAGCAAACTATTTATGAGTAATACCTTCAATACCATAGAGATAAAGTTTCCTGAGCATAATTTCGTGATTAACACTGTCAAATGCCTTAGAGAAATCGCAAAAGACTGCTGCTGTAATCTCCCGTCTATTAATGTTACTATACACTTCATATAAAAATGAAAATATGTCATCATGAGTATTTTTGTTTGACAGGAATCCAAATTGATTGAAGCTTATTATATTACCGAAGTTCAAATGTTCTGTTAAACGTATTTTCACCAGTTTTTCAATAATTTTTGCTAACGACGGAATAAGAGAAATTGGGCGATAGTTCGAAGGATTCTCTAGATCACCCACCACCTTTGTAAAGAGGGATTACGATCGAAGTTTTTAAGAACGAGGGAAATGAACCCGTTAGAAATGAATGATTGATTGCCTTCTCCAAAGCATTCAGAGCAGTAGCAGGAAGATTATCAAAGATTTTCATATTTTAATTTTATCTTTTGAATGGGAAAAGGAGTTATTAAAAATGGACCAGAGCTGATTATAAAATGTTTGAAGAGGATCAATAACATCCTAAATATGTTCCCAATTAATTTGACTATATTTTAAATAGAACCCATTATAGTTTGCTGTACTGTAGAGTCTACCATACTTGAACTTTTTACCTTGTGTTGTAGAATCGATGTTAACACTGAAGTGAGTAGCTTCATGATCAGATAATCCAGAAGAAATAACAGCTTCGTTAAGAAGCTGAGTTTCTTTGGTCGAGTGTGACTAAGTGTGAGCCACAATAAACCCTTGCGGGTTGAGGTGGAGGGTCGAATAGACCCACTCACTTTGGACCTAACCTAACTTTAGGTACTGTTATTTTTGGCCACAGTTGCGGCACCCCCGGAGACCGAAAGCATAAGATCACTCATGTATTTTATATGGTGGTGGTCGAATTTCATACTTTTGGAGAAAGGGAACTGCATCAGTCCTTAGGAGTTGTAGAAAAGTACACCTAATGCTATCTGTATGGAATTCGGAATTGATAAATGTTCAACGGTCCTTCTCAAAAGAGAAGGTGCAGGAATTGAGATGATGATGTGAATCTTGTATATGAAGTCATCCTAACACCATCTGATTGCCAGAGAGACCTTGGGATGGAACAACACCACTCACAAGAATTAAAGACAGAGAATTCACTCCGCGGAAAGTATCAGTACAATCTCCGACAGAGTGAACTTATCGAACAGTATTTTGGAATTATATTAGGACTGTCTGGGACGAACCAAGTTGCTGCTATGAATATACTTACCGTTTAAGTCTTAGTCTTGTCGTTTGGAGTAGGGAAGTTGTCTCGGGAGGAGCTGTATCAACTCGATGTATATACCCGAGAAATAATATACTTTATAGGAGTTTTTATACCGATTGATCCGTTCTTCGGTTAAAGTACCTCCGGCAACAGGGAGGCCGTGGTCTTTTGACTAAGGAATATCTACATAACTGCAGAATGAAGCTTATGAAATAATCAGGAGTTCAAATCCCGTTTTCTGCGTGTGTCGCGACCACTAAAAAGGATGAAGTGGTGTATTTCGTTATAAGGCAATAGATCCATCAGTAAATGAACTTGGTTCAGTTTTCCCTACTGAACGAGGTGATCACAACTCTGTCATCGAGTTTAATTCATTCAGCAAAAGGCTGGCATCAAGGCCAAGCTTTGTGGATAGCTGACCCCAGAAGTGCATTTGTGGGTGAGCATACTACCACTGATGAGACCTTGGCTGGTAGAAATAGCGCTATTTGGTATGCTTTATTCTTAGGCTCTGGTTTCACACACTTCTGGTATTGACGAGACCTTGGTATTGCCTTATGCTCTTGCAGATATTGAATCCATTGTGAGGAAGTGCTGAATTTATGTCTGATGTAGTCCTTCACGACCATCAGTGTGAGATGATTTTCGTCGTGGTGTTTTCAGCTCCGCGTGGAGGTTTTCTCTTCGAAATAAGCAGACTTGTTGTGTCATAACTTCGGAAAATGGTCCCGACCGGAGAAATATTTCAGGTATAAATAATAATAACAGTATTTATTATCCCTTTCTTACAATTATAGTAAACGCAGGATCGCCGAGAGATATATTAAAGGCGTGCCCTAATTTATAGTACTTATACAATCACACGTTAAAAGGTAAGACCTCGTTAGTCCTTAGCTCGCACAAGTTTCTTAACTTCTGATAGTTGTCGTTCGTATGGGGGCGGCAACTGATTAACGGAAAAACAGAACCGATTTTTTAAACAGAATTATTTGCTATTTTATATCTGGTCAGTATAACATATATATTTCATTTTTACAGAATGAAATGTCTGAAGAAGACATACCAGTCATGACAGACGCGGGCGCAGATGTATCAGACAAGGAGAATGATTTTCAACCATTGAAACCAGAACCATTCGATATTGGTGAGTGATCAGATGTTGATGTTCCTAATATGTATCTACTCAAAAAAATATGTCATTTTCCGCCAACAAATTATTTTAATTCAAGAGAAATATTGATTGGTGTTTCATAAAGAATTTTAACAATCCTGAAATTCCATTTGAAGAGTAATTTTGAATTCCCACTCATTGTGACCAAAATCCTAGCCCCAATATAAACACAAAGGTTTCGAGTTGCAGAGGCAGATTAGTTCAGAATGCGGATTAGTTGGGAGTTCAGACATGCGATAAAAAGTGAAATAAAAAAAATTATGAAGTTATGTTTGAAGTGAAAGTTTCAAGAAGTTATGTTTAAAGTGAAAGTTTCAAGTTGTACTTTGAGTTATTGAATAATAATTTTGAGTTTTATTGAGTGTACCACTCATTATTATGAATACACGCATAGACGTAATGCCACAGCAGCGGGATAAGTAGTTGTATAGAAGAAAGAAAGACTAGAGCGGATCCAACATGTTGTGAACACAAGACCAACAGACTACGAGAAGGCGAATGGAAATATAATGTAGTTCTAGAAGTCAGTTAGACAACAACAAGAAAGGAAAAGAAAAGGAAGAGGAAGAAAGAGTTAGAAATAAAACGAACAGAAGACTAAGAGAAACACTTATAGCAACAAGAAATTAAAATGAAAGGACTGGAAGAAAATGCAAAAGGAAAGAAGAAATGAAGGCAACAAGAAGCAAAAAGAGGGATCGACCAAAAGAGGCAAGATAAATGGTTAGATCGGCAGTGCACTAAAATTAGCCAAGGTCTGAAAAGGAAAATTGTAAATGAAGTTCAATAAGTGTAATGTGAAATATTGGAAGTTAAAGACAAGTTGGAATCAAAGTCGTTCAAAGTGAGGTAAAGCAGTCTGTGTCTGAGAATGAGGACTCCAAGTTAGTTCGGTAAGATCAACAAAGGGGTCGCGATAGAGATAAAAAAGAAATTAGACGAACGTGTCACAAAGAGATGAACAAGAAAATGAATAAACAGGTCAAAGAAATTGAAAAACGAACTCAATCATAAACCATCACCAAATAGAACCCTGAAGCTTCTTATTGTTGGTGATCAGTCATCATGGTTTATATACCGTCGACCATTCAAAACAGCAGCTAACGGTACCGGCTGGACAAAAGGAACAAACCACTATCCTAGTTTTATTTCTGTGAGGTCTGGCATTGGAAATACTCCAATAACATTCCAGATAGTAGCCAAAATAATTATCAAATGGTCGTAAAAGTTCTTGAAATGCGATATGGGTAAAGCAAGTACCAGAGCCAACTAAGAAAGTGATATCAATAATCACAGGAGACTTTGCAGGACTTTGGGGCAGATATTTTAATACCAATCAATTTGATTCGTCCGTCCACAAGCCGCAAACAAATTTGTGGAGCAGATTCTAGTATAGGCATTCATCGACATTGCTCACACACTCGCCGCTAACCTTTCGTTGTTGAAATACATTGTCTCTTATGAGGCAACGCAGATTCGCTTGTCTAAATTGGCTCATTAGATACATTAGAGGTCCGTACAACTTCCATCTCAACACATAACTTGTATGGCATTGAATTGTACGCCTGTCTGCAGTGGGTCTAAATGCAAAAAGTCCTGAAGCTAGATCGAAATTCAAAGATACATTCTGAAATGATAGCGACACTGGGGAAGACTGCGAAAATTGATTCACAATGTTGCTTTCATACAATCCCAGATAGCACAAATACGTCTTATGGACGTTTTAAAACGTCCCGCTTGGACATTCAGGACATCCTCAAAACGTCCATTTTACGGACGTGGACATCTTATGGACGTCTTTGTAACGTCCATTGTTAATAACCAGGATATCTTCAGAACGTCCATAATAGGACATTACAGGTCTTCAAATGGACATTTACAGAATGTCTTTAGGACGTCCATTTGAGAACATTTCATGGACATAATCAGAAGCTCAAAAAGATATTCACAGAATGTTCTATTTGTTTCTGTCATGCGTTTCTGTAGGCTGAAAATTATTTATTTTTTATTTATTAGGTCAGATTGCCTCGAGAAAATTAAGAAGATATTGAACATTTCAAAATCTTTTATTTGAAACATCCATTGAAAATAATAACATAAAATAAATGATTATATTGAAACTTTTTCGTAGATTTCACGTCCTTCCTTTCCTTCGCCCTTTGTAGCCATGCCTGAATCGACAGTTGTCGTGATATGGCCTTGTTTGCCTTCTCAGCTGAACCTGAAAATAATTCAAATTGCTTATTCAAAATGAATGGCAAATGATCAATATGAAAATCAAATCTGTATTAAATTATTATAGATATCTAATGTAGGCGGTGTCTAAATAATATACGAGTATACTCACTTATGATATGAGCTGCATTTTCCTTCACTTCTTCGTACTGAAAACTAGTGGTTTCAACACATTCGGCGGTTTGTTCTCATGATGAAGCTGCGGACGGCAGGATGAGTGTATAGGGAACAGATTGCGAATGCCGTTTAGCACGCATATAATGTGTGTTTAAGTTTGATCTAGACATTATGAATTCACTAACCTTTTAGCTTTTTAGTATTCAGTAAGATAAAGTGCAAACGTTAATAAGTCGACCACAATCACTAAAACAGTCGAGTACGAGTAACACGAATGACAATGACAGTCACGCGTCACACACAACAACACAGAACAACAGGTACGGAACCAACTGTTCACAGCTATTAGATCATGTAGGCTACGCTATATTATTATTCCTCGCAAACATTCGCTATATATGATCTACAACTGAACTAATAGTTTTAGTTCAGTCGGTTTTAGTCATTGTTTAATGGACAGTTCAGTGATCTGAACTGCATTACTTACCTTTTTTTGTCATTATTTTCAGAAAATGTCCACATTGAATAAATCAAAATATCAAAAAAGCGATGCAACCAAAGGTGAAGAATGTAATAATTAAAATCGACCAGACTTCCGTACAGCCGACAGTAAAACGCAACAAGACGCGTTCTGTGGTTGGTGACTGATGACGGGAAGTTTAAAATTGTCATTTTAAACAGTCGCATGCAAATTGATTCAGAAATGCGTTATTGGCCAACCCTAATTCCTAGTTCCTTTGCAACTGAACCAACACAGTTCAGTAGTTCGTAAAATTGCATTATACAACCTGCCCCAAGTTATTAACTAAACTCCAAAACTCCACAATATGAAATCAGTCCTGCGCGTACGCACATGCTACGCATAACTTCGTGTTTTATGTATCAATTTGGAAATTGAAAATCATATAATATAATTCCTAAAACTCCATTCTCGAGATATCAATATTTGAAATTGTTCTTTGATATGACCTTGATACCTATATGTTGGATAACTTCATACACAGTTGGCATCACCTTCAAATGTTCTACTGCTTATTGATGATTTAATAATGTTATAACAACGTCTTGCTGAATGAGACATTTTTTGTGTGATAACATATATATATACGCCGTCTTTTATAATCATTTCATTATAATATATAAGTTTAACGTAACGGTAAAACTTGCGAGTATTTGCTAAGAAATTGAAGCCATAATATCAAAACTAAAAAATGAAGACTCATCAGGTGGATGAAATTCCTGTATCCTTGACAAAACAATGTTCTTACGAACAGTGACAAATGCCGGCTAACATCATTAACGAATCAATTACACCTGAACACAAAAAAAGACCAAACCGATATTGAATTTTATTAGACGTATAGTACTCGATTTCAGCTAACTGCGTGACTAATAACGCTCAGAAAAAAAAATTTAACCTAACCTGAGCTAAACCTTCAACCTACCGCTAAACGGCCCAAACTATAATCTGTCTCATTTTCACGAATGAAATTTAATCCCATTCAAAATGTAACATTAAAACTCGTATGAAGTTTAATTTTTGTCATCGGGGATTCTCATAATAGACTTTTTGTGTTACTTTTGGATGAGGAATTCATAAATATAATTACTATCGAAATCGGTCATAGGGAAATATTTTTCGTGAGAATGGAGTTGTGAGGACGAAAAACGCTCATAAATGAACATTTAATGCAACCGAAGGCTAATTCAACTCCAACCCAACTTAAGCTGACCTAAACACTAATCACCTTCAAACAATTTCTCAAAATTGGTCCCTGAGCTGACTACAAGTCAAACCTGATCTAATCTAATGGAAACCCCTCTAATCATCCATCTCATTTTCACAGTTGAATTTTTCTTCCATATACTCAACATTTAACCTCGCAGTTCGAGTAACTTTTTTAATACTCGTCATCGGAAAATATTTCTAGATAGGAAACTCAAAAGTATAAATACCATCGAAATCGATGGTGTGGGGAAGTTTTTTCTCCCTAATTAAGGACAAAACACGCCCAGAAAAGAAAACATATCCTAATTTAACCGAAACTCTTATCATTTGTTTTATTTTTGTTATGTAGACATGAAATGTGACTTCAAAACTAGTATAATTTTCGCTGTCGGTTTTAATGTTTCTTGAATGTATGAACTATACAAATGCTAGTCATTCATTAGTGCAATTCTTGTCGATATACCATGCCAGAGCACCGTTACAAACTGAGCAATCCATTTAAAGTACTTGATTAATTCCAGAAAAACCACTCAACAGAAACAGCTTCTACTAGTTTCATTCAGCTTATACATTCAGCTTTCGACAACATCAATTTTGATTTAATATCGGAAAAAAATTCAACATTATGATTTCAAGGAAAAACACTAACCGGTTGCGCTCATTTCTACCATGCCTTAAATTATTATCATAATTGATCATGAATAGCATTGATGCGGGAATACCTCAAGGTAGTGGGCTTGGACCACCTATATTTTTACTGCATATCAATAATTTTTCTTAATGAATGAATGATGATTGATGAAGTTTTTATGTATGAAGACTATAATCTATGGTCGTGCCAGGCCAGTTTGAAATTTATAAAGGTTCTAAAATTAAAACCACTTTACCAATCAGTGCCATAAAAAACCGCAGTATAATTTCATAAACCTCCAGTAGATCCTTTGAAGTTAACCAATACCAATATAAAAATGAAGATATGACATTGCGTTCTGAATGTAATTTCTTAGACATGATCCTCGATTAAAACCCAAATTGTGCAAATGAATTGACTTTATTTACTCTAAATTGAATAAACAATACATTGTTATAAATAACTGCGCGATCAGCTTGAAAGAGGACTTATTTATAACTGTGTACAACTGTGTACTGTATGACTTTCCACTCATAAGTTATAATATTTAGGCGTATGGCCTGACTAACTCTAGCAATAAAGGTCTGATGTTCTGACTTAATATTCCGTAATATTCGTAAAGACGAAAAGATTTATCAGTTAATTTCTGTGAACTTGTTATGGCGATAAAATAATTTTCAAAAAAAACTCCAATCGAGAACGCCTATAAAATTCATATTTTGAATCGGGGTCGTCCCGAACATCTTATTAGAATAGAGAGGGGGGGGAATCTAAAAATGAGGCAGTTCAGGCCAAAAAAAAAAATAACTGAATGTAAATGAATAAGAATTTATTGTATATAAATAGGTTTATTCAAAATAGCTGAATTGGCCATTCTATTATATGTTTTGTTTCTGTGGCGATTTATTCATCCTACATAGTCGGGACATTAATTTAAAAATTCGGCATTCCGAAAATTTTCTGAATGGTGCTAATACAAACTTCTAGGTTATAAATTTCTATTTTGTCCCACTCTTGCGTTTGAGCTTTCCCTACTTGATTTTATGTCAGAGGCATTAGAGATTTCTGCCACGAATATTTTTGATAGGATTTTTATAAATTCCACAAGATGTTTCGAAACTCGGAATAATGATGGTGCAATTGGCCCATTTCGTCATCGTCAAGAATCAATAATNACCTTTATCTTTATTTTTCATGTTTTTGAACTTGTTGATTAGACTATATAAAGTAAAGAGCATCGCAAGGAACACATCGATGTTTACCATTGACCTTCAAAAATCGATGTTTTTCAGCGTATAACATCTATGTCGTAAAACCCATCAATTCTGTAAATAAATAATGAAATTTAAACTCATTAATTTACCCATTATAATAATTCATAAACATGAAAAAAATTACACGAATATATCAATTTATTTGTGAAAATAATCCATGTATTTGAGTGAAAACACGTAGAACGTATTGTTCAAACTTCCAATATTCAAAGTTGGTAGAAAGTTAATAAATAGAATAATTTATTCAAATAACACTTCATTCTGAGATTTTCACTGGACAGTTTACAAAACCACAAACAACCGCGACACGTGTTTTGCAAAGCTATTGTATAGCTTTGTGTAGTGTTATTTCAATATGTTATGGATTTAAATCAAGTATCGGCCACATCCATCAAAAATAAATACATATAAGTAAAAGCGAACATATTTTTTTTACAGTGTGGGGGTTTAAGAGTTCAGTCAGTCATTCATGAATCACAACACAAACAAATCCACAAATGATTATTTCAAATGAAATATAAGTCGTTCACGTCGTGATTCGTGATCAAGTGACAAGAATGACGAAATAGGTAACCAGAAAATTGAAATATTGTAAAATTTTCCTAGGTATTTTAGGTAAAAAATATTAATGTCAATAATATAACATAATATATTTGAATATTTGGAAACTATGTTCTTCTGTATCCCATGTCATTCTTGAAATAAAAACACTAAATTATAGATACAACCATCTTCGTTGGTAGTTCGAAGCCATCGAATAACTTCTATAATTTACCATCGATGGCAAAAAACATCGACATCAATGTTTTGAAAACATCCGCTATTGATGCTCACCCCCGACTACGACTACATCTCCATCCGTCGTTTACATAAAGATCGTAAGGGAATGCAAAAGTTATAAGCAATAAGTAATAAGTTTCTCAATATGCGAGACCACGGAATGCAGGCATAAGCTATAGAAAATTTTCCAATCAAAGAAGTTTCCTGACAGTTCCTAAATTCTAACCTTAACCTCAAGATGAATATCAATTATATCATATTAATTAGACAATGGAAGTTCGAACTAATGAAATTCACCATAAAACATTTTCAACCACCTTCATACAAACGTTATTTTTTATTACTTGTGCTCTACAGCTTTGTTCCGGGTTGGACCATTTGAATACACGCAACGAACTTTTTTTATTACTCAACTTTCATTACTTATTTCTTGTAACTTTGTATTTCGTCACGGTCTCATCAAACAGTCGTCAGAGGTGTATATAAGAATTCTCTCTCTCACTCCCTCTCCTTCTCTCTTTATCTATCTCTCTCTCCGTTCCTACGTTGAACGTTGCTTCCTTTCGCTTGCTCGCAGCAATGCTGCCACCCCTTTTTTATCTAAACTTTTTGTTATAAAAAACACTTAACATTTTTGGGGAACTTTATGACTTTTTACACATATTCAACACATTTAATTGGTACAATCCTGTCCCCAGGTGGACATCCGGTCCACTCCGGCCTCCAACCGGCGTGAATGAGAGTGCTGTCTCTTTTTAACATTTATAGACTTTTTAAAAAAATGTTTATTTTAATGGAGGCACGTTGTACGACGGCGGACATTCACAACACAAAACTAAGTTTCATCTCCAACAATGACAGTCGCTATCAGCACGTCCGTCCACCAGCATATCAGAAACGAAACTCCTATAAGAATTCTCCCTGATCGGAACCTTTGAAATGTCCAAACCTCGTAGTTTCCACAACCTAATAATAATACACATGACAACTGACACTAATGGCAAATACACAGAGTACTCAACTCAGAAAAATATATATGCTGCAAACAAAATCCTCATTGATTGACAATAAAATGATTACAATGAGAAAATCTCACACACAGCAAATGCAACTCGGATTCAAAAAAAACATGCGACTTATTATATCACCGGCTTCACTGATGGATTGCAGTTGAATTTAAGAACTCAACTAATTTTACACCCATTGACCAGTGGTTCATAAGAGATAAGGATTTTGTTTGTAGCACATATATTTTCAATGAATTAGCTACTCTGTGTATTTGTCATTGGCGTCAGTTGTCATATGTCGTTTGTTTTTATATTTTTTTGAGATTTCTTCGAAGTAACGTCGTGAACATTAATATAACAACTGACATAATTGACGAAGTATCCGACTCGGAAAATATATAAATAACATCATAATTCTCACACGTATTTCAGAGCCACCTCCATAATAACTAACTTCCCTGGTTATAGCAAGTTTTTATGAATGAGACATGTTGTGTGGCAAGTTCGAACAATGAAACATTCAAAATATATTTTATTTTACCTATGACAAAATGAACGTAATTAGAGAGATTTTTGAAGTTTCTCTAAGTTGGCAATCAATAGATCATATCGGATAAGGATTTCATTTTGAGCAATAAATAGAAACAAAATGCAGTAGTGTCAGGATGGAAACTGTCATGGACGTGTCAAATTGAGAGGTTAATTACTCGAGTCAACATTTCAATAAACATTTTTGCTTTTCATCAATTTAAAAATTAATGAGCGAACCATTGGAGTAATAATCCTTCACAATTGTTGAAGGAGAAAAGCTATATGACCAATGACCAGAGTATCAGTCTAATCGGTTATTGACGTAAAAATGACAGATGTTTCTTCTGTGATGTAATTTTTTAAGCTGGAGTAATTGATTAAATAACGCTCTTCGTGATCGCAATAACGTATCTGTAATGTAATAGCGTATTCCATTAGTAAGACTAGTGCACATTCAGTGTATCTGTTTCATCTATTTCGTAAACACTAATAAAGGATAGTGATATACTGAATTTGCACTTATTTTACGAACGGAAAACGTTGTAAGTGATGGTTATGTTTCATCTCACCTTAGTTTACTCAGTTTAATCACTGTTTTTTGAATAAACATTTGATACAAATTATTTTCACGAAGGTATTCCATGATATCGCCAATTGTTTCAGACATAAAATTGCCGTCAAATTTTGATTACACGTCATGTCAAACTTGTTCTATTGTTATTGTACAAACTTATAAATCCTAATACTGATTGGATTACTAAAGACAGCTGAAATATTCAATTATGGCTCTAATGTCCCTATACTTTATGTTTCAATTTTCAGAAAAGGTAATGAGTGATTAGTGGAAGGTGTTTGTTTTACTTCTTTGGAAATGTTACGAGTTTTTCTATTTGTATATACCTGTGTTCTGGAAGAGTAGTATAAAAATATTTTTTATACCTGAGGATGATTAATTCAAAAAATATATGAAGATGTTTGTACAAGTATTGAGGAAATTCACATGTCCTTATGTTGAAAACCTTGTTTTCAAATGACATGTGCAATGTGGTCTACGCGTTTTGGTGCAGTCTAACGCCCAGCACACATGTTATTAGTAATGTCGTATTTATAACTTTACAGTCAAAATATTACCAACAAACTAGGAATAAACGATCCATTTAATACTAAACTTTCAATAACTTCCATTTAGGTTCATTTTCAACAAAAGATACTCCTGGCAAATCCAAACCAAAAATAAGATATTCACTTCTAGAATTTGATCCCCTCTATTCACCTAGAAGAATTAATGAAGACAGGAATGTATCAGGACAAAATGTAAGTACTTTAATACTTTTAAATTGCTACTTATTGGATACTTGACTTGGATATATGATGAATCATTTGGAGGACTTTTCAGAGGTTTGAGAAATATTCAAAAAATTGTGGTCTCAGTGTATTTGTTTTATGATTTTTTGAAATTCTCGACTATATTCATTTACATTTAACCTACGTGATCTGACAGTTTCTCTGTCCAGAAGGATCCTTGAATGAATAAACAATGTTTTTCTATTATTTGTGCACGTTAAGAAACTTTCATTATTTTTCAGGATGATTTCAAAGATGCACTTGCCTTTACGGAGGAAAGAATAGAGGATTTACAAATTGAACAGGAAATTAACAATCCTGTCTCTGAAGAGTCAACAAATTATACAGACTCAGATCAATCTCTACTTGTAAAAATAGTAAGTGAGATAGAAGTCAAGACGGTGGTTTCAGAGGAAATAGAACATAAAAGCTCTAACAATAATTGCGAGTTAGGTGAGAGAAAATATTAATGCTAGGATAACTTTAGGCCTCAATTTACTGACATATTTTTTACTTACAACAGCTGAAGAAGATCAAAATACAGTTGATGATACCTCATGTTACCTAGACACCTTGAACACAGAATCTAAAGTATCGGAGAACGTACCGGAAGGTAGTGATACAACAATTTCCACGTCCGTAGAAAACCAGTCACAGGTTGACTCCCCAAAGTTGGCTACCGATAGGTCTATCATTTCCACAACTGATTCAGAAATCAATAAAGTAAGTATTTTAATATTCATTTGGATTTATTTAGTTGTCACATGAGACAGTCTACTTTCACACAACATATATTCATATCCTCATTGAGTGTAATGGGTGGTGTCTTCTCAGTGAAAGTCGTCATGTCCACAACACCCGTTTCGACATGAATTGCTTGCCCCCTTATGGTGTCTTAATTAGCATGAAACATGACGAACAGTCTCTTGTCCTGTGTAACGTCTGTAGCTATAAACATTATGATTGTACAGGTGTATTTTGCTAATTGCACGTTAAAAGGTATGACCTCTTCAATCCGTAGCATGCACAAGTTTTGGCTTCTGAGAATTGTCGTTCGTGGGGGGGAACTGGTCAACGGAAAATTAGATTCTGACAGAAAACGGTTTGTCTTTTAAATAGGCAGTGTTCTGTTAAGGGCCTTGTAATAATTTTGAACTGATGCCTGCTTTGTTGAAGCAGTTCTGTATAAAGGTTTTCCTGTGACTGTTTCCAGATATATTTTCACAGTATTTCTGTTTATTACTGACACATTTTCTAGTCTGGTCCCATTCCATAGATTTCTGTTCAGGGCAATGGTGTTGATTAGTGTTTAGCACATCCATAATAATCTACACCTTCTGTAGAGTCTATATATTAGTCTATATTGAGTACTATATTTGAAGTAGTGTTATTTCTTAGACTTGATCCTCGATTAAAACCCA